ACACACACACACACACGCACACGTATCAGGAGATAAAAAGTATATGACAAAAACTGATTGGATCATTGGACTATATCATCTTTTACATGTAAGCCATTATATTTAATTCTAATTAAATTTAACAGGAAAAACTGAAGTGTGACCAAGGTTGTCATTTAGATTCAGGAAAAAATGGTGCTTTACACGTAGTTTATAAACCATCTCTCTACAGTTAAAATCTATACTACATGTTCATGTGAGTCATATGTATGTAAGTATACATATAGAGAGACATATGTCTACAGAGAGGGAAAGTAATTCTTTTATCTGCTTAGTTTGACTCTGCACTACATCTCTGGAGCCATGCATGCATTAACGTTCACATCACCTTCCACTGTGCATTCTCAGCCTCCTGCTCTTGTTATATTACTATTTTATATTGTCAAGTTTCTTAACAATTATGGTCTAGCCTATAATTCTTTTTGCATTGGTTCTATATTAAAATGTATTCATTGTTTCTTGAGTTTTTCATTTTTGAATCAATTCCTGGTTGGTGGGATATTAGCCAACGGGCTCTGGAAATTGTGGGCCCTGTATTCTGGAATGTCCAGCTTTGCCTCTATGCTTCTAAACCTGACCCAGCGTGACACATTTCATTATGTCTCCCTCCAAACACAGCAGATGACACTCCAGTCTTCTGACAATAAAAGTTGCTGTGGAGAACTCAGCAACTGTTCTTCCAGCAAACAATCTGTATAGAGCAGTCCTTTATTCCCTGAAGTCTAGAAAATCTACTAGGAGATGTCTTGCCTTTCGACCTGTGTTGCTAGTTCTCAGAACACAGCATACACTCTCTACCTCCGGGGCTCTGGGTCTGAAATAATGCACAGAGTCAGGTCTGGCTGCCTCTGGGTTCAGAGCTCAGCTCTGCTACGGGCTGGTCACGACTCTCATTAGACCTCAGCATTCTCACCAGTAAGATGGCAGTGATGATGGAGCTTTTCTCTTAGATAGTTCTGCAGAGGCAATGTGAAAAAGAACGGACAGAGTACTTAGCACAGCACACAGCGAGTGCCCAAGGAAATGTTGCATGAAGAGTTTCTCTTGGATTACATAATTGTCATTCTTATCTTAAAGTATATGTATTTTTTGTTCACATTTTGTCTTTCACTAATTGTGTGCAATGGTCTTAATTATAAAGCTTTACAGTAAGTTTAGAGATCAGAAGTGAGACCTTCAGCTTTTCTCGTTTTCAAGATTGTTTTGGCCCTTCTGGTCCCTTGTGTCTTTGCATTAATTTGTGAATCAGCTTGTCAATTTCTGCAAAAAAGGTAACTGCTAGATAGAAAGGGATTCAGTTCAACTGTATATCAACGGAGGGGTACTACCATCTTAACAATTTGAATCTTTATGCTCAGGAATGTAGGCTGTTTCTCCATTTACTCAGGTTTCCATTCAATTCTTTCAACAATGATTTGTAGTTTTTAGCCATTAAATTTAAGCCAAGGTTTGCTTCATTCAAGGTTTGTACTTTTTAAAAAAAGATTTACTTACTTAGTTTTGTGGAGAAGACCTGGGGTGTAGGCCAGAGGTATGGGGGTCAGAGGATTTACCAGAGACAGAGTGGGGAGTAGAACAGGTGGATCTACTGAAAGACACTGCTGAGGGGAGCAGCGGGCAAGGTAGGAGAGGTCTGCTGCGCCATGTGGGTCACTTTCCTGGCCAGGGAGCAGTATGGCTGTGAGTAGTGTGAGTGCTGAAATTTAATTTCTATGCCACCAGGGAGGTCCCAAGTTTTGTACTCTTTAATCTTTCTGTTGCTATTTTAAGTGTAATTGTCTTAATTTCATTTTCAGACTGGTCGTTGCTATGTCATACAAATACAAGTGATTTTTGTATACTGACATTGTATCCTAGAGCCTTGATGAAATCCCTTAATAGTTATAATAGAACTGTGTATATGAATTCCTCAGATTTTTCTATCTATAGGAATATGTGATCCACGCACAGATATAGCACAGATATAGTTTCATTTTTCCCTTTCAATCTGGCTGCTTTTTTTTTCCCCTTGCATTGGCTACAATGTCTAGTAAAAGCTTCATCTTGCTTGTTGTTTGCAAGGTCTATAATTTTACTTTTTGTCAACTCAAATAGCAATTCTTAACTGGTTCTTTTTTAGGCAGTTCGGTCTGCTTTTATGTCCAATCTGAAAATATCTGCCTCTTAGTGGGGGTGTTTAGATCATGTATGTAAAATTTAATTAATGTAATTGGAACCATCCTGCTAGTTGATTTTTCTTGTCCCTGATGTTGTTTGTTCCCTTTCTTGCACTCACCCTGCTTTTTATTTTATTTTTTGATTGATAATTCCATTTCATTTCTATTATAAAATGGTTCATTATCTCTTTATTTTCTTACTTTTAATGGATGCCCTAGGGTTTACAAAATAGCTCTTCAACGTATCACTGTCAATTTTTAAATATTACACGGATTCATCTATAGGTTGAACACCTTATTCAACATGTTTCTGATATCGATGGCTGAAGACTAAATTGTTACGGGTGGTGCCCCCTGGAGGGGCTTGCTGGTAGAAAACTGAGCACCTCAGAAAGGTGCTAAAAGTGAGGTGAATCAGCAAAAAAATATATAAAATAAGGTAGCTGCACTGCACGGGGAAAGGGAACTCACCAACGATGAGAGCTCCCAGAGAAGACGCTCTGGGCAACGAGGAAGAGGTTGCACAGATACGCGCAAGGGAGGCCAAGTTGCAGCCCCGGGTCATGCAGAGGAGAGGCCGCGCCCTGGCCAGGCAGTGAGGCCTCGACGGCCGCGCGGGGTCCGGACCTGACGGCTGTGGCTTCGAGGAGCGGGGCTTTGTGGGCGCGGGCTGCGTGGCACAGGCCATGGAGTACGGCCTGTCTGAGGAGTCGCGGGCAAGTTTTGTCAGCCCTGGCAGAGAAAGGGAGACCCAGAGACGGGCATCTTGCGCAGGCGGGCCTGGGGAAGTCGGGAGGCCGGCGCCGGGCGTGAGAGTGGCTGCCTGTCCAGTCAACCGGCCGCCACAGCTGTGGTCCTGAGTGTCCCTGTTGGGTGCTGCGCTGGGCATCTCCTGCTGCATCCTTGCTGCGTTTGTGAATCGGTCAGGCCCACAGTCCGGCTGCCCCGAGCCCACGGTGGCCATCTAGCCAGGCAGTCTGCCGTGCAGGGTGGAGCTGCAGCTTGCTCAGTGGAGGGAAGCCACCGTCATCATCACCGCCTCTGTGCAGGACAGCGCTGGGCACGACTTTGGGGGGAGTAAATGGCCACTACTGGACTCAGTAACCCTTGTTTTTCCCATTTGTTAAATAAGTCTCTTTATGGTTATTCTCTAAGCCTGAGCAGTCTTGCAATTGTGTGCAGGTGAGGAACCCGGCCTGAGGTTGGTAAACTGCTGGGCAGTGGGGCCTGGGCCCGTGCAGTCACTCTCCTG